TTTTAAGTCATTGTGCAGATGTTTCTATTCACTTTTAGCTGAGAACTCGTGGAGCAAAGTTTTTGGATAATTTCGGCAGCTCTTTTTGGTCTATTAACACGAAGTTGATAAAAAATAATGTCGATTCCTGGGGGAGATTCGGGCGTGTTGCACGGGTGATGGGCAAGACTATTTGATTTGCAATTACCGAGCCCTACCGAGACGACGATTACCCACGGGGAATCCCACCCGAATGAAAATCGATTCCATTTCTGGAGCGACGCCGGATACCGGTAATTTCTGTCACGCGATCTATCTTATTTCCTCGTCATCTCGTACATGATTATCGGAATTATTGCAATCCGTCATTAAATTACTTCCCCTGGACGTCCGCATGAATCCTTAATTTTCCAATTTCAATATTTGATTAAAAAATAATTTAAATTAATGAAAAATAGACACCTGTAGACAATAAAAAAAACATTTAATAATTTTCTTCAACCAGCATTTCTACCACCAGATGCTGTTATTATTTATTTTTCCCTGGGGAATAGAATAAAATGGAGTTTTTGGTCATCGCGGTTTGTAAGAATGATTAATCAGAGTGCCTGATATTTAAATAGGCCCGAGTTGAATTCAGTTACCGAGCGCTGAAGATTGAATTACGGGCAACACGAGTGGGAAAAATAATCCTGTAGAATTGAGACTGAGAGCGACTGCGGAAAATCCAGTTTTAATTACATTCAATTATAAACTCCGGGGCAACGTTGAGTTTTGAATAGTTTAAACTTTCAGGTGTTCGTGGGGTGAGTTTGGATGAGATACAGTGGCCAGTAAACAAACTCTCAGTTTCATTCCAACATTCGGAGAGTTGTTTTAGCTCTTGAAATTAAATTCCTTTATGATGAGGGATCATAAAGAAATAGCGAGATCTCGTGATTCGATACGAGTAATGAAACATAACTCCATGTATTCAATTGCGTCTCACGTCAGGTTATTTTTTCTCAGCTAATTCGTTTTTATTTTAAGATTCGAGCCCACTCCTCCCTTAATTCCCCCAGGAATTTTATTATTTAACCCAAACGTCACGTCCCAACAATTACCCGTTGCCCTTTTTTAATTAAGAATATCACTAATTTTCTCGCGGCGCACGTGCACCTCCCGCGTATTATTTCCTGACGAGGGTAATTACTCCTGTATTAAAGACGTAATTGGACGTTTGGACAATTAAATGTTTATAAAGAAAAGTTTATTTCAAGGTTTCAGCAGTATTTACCTGGTATATTTTTTATCTTCGCATTTTCAGCTGCTGTTTATTCCGCATGAAAATAAACTGCATCTTCTCACACTCTCGGAAATCCTCAAGTTTTTCTCAATTGCCTCACGTAACCAGTGCACTTCTTTCTGTATGCGCAACATCAACTTTAACCCCGGCTCACCATTTATGCATTACTTATTGAACCCGTCAATATTCGATAAACGCGTTGCCATCGATTTTCGATTATCGACGCTCAGTTCACCCCCGCGTGTCTTTCACTTCGCGAGGGTTTATTTAATTGCCAGTGCTATTTCGATGTTCACTCGGTGTTCGATTCCAGGAATTTATCTCCGGATTATTTAGAAGTGTAATTCCATTTCAATCGCTAATATTTTAGGATCATGTGTGCTGGAGGATTCAATCACCGACGAGCATTCAGAATGGAAGGGAATTTCAGTTGAATTTTAAAAAATGTTATTTTGTGAATTGTTTCATTAAATTGGGGGGAAAGGTAGAATTTATTCGATTACTGTTAAACCGTCAAAAATTCACTCCTCATTTTATGACACTCCGGGTGAAAAAAAATTGTAATCGGAAATTTTTTTAGCAAATCGAAAATTTTTTCCGAATTTTTTTTTATGAAACAGAAAGAAAATCGGAAAATAAAAGAATTTTATTTTTAGAAAATTTTTCATAAATTTAAATATGAAATTGTTTTTTGTAATTTATATGGTGTATTTTTTGAGAATAAATGAGTATAATTTAAAAAAATCATATTTTCAAAAAGTTCTACAAAATTGTAAAAAAAAATTTTCCAAACAAATTTTTTTGTTTCCCGATTTTTTTTTGTTTCAAAAAAAAAAATTCTGAATAGTTTTCCAGAAATTTTTTGAAAATTGGGAGAAAATATGTTTACAATTTTTTTTTACCCGGGACATTTTGAATTCATTGCTAAACCGCAATTTCCATGTCACCGATGCAATGCGCTCATACCGAGGAATGAATTAAATGAAACAATAATTTCCTTAACGAGGGCGTGACCGGGATATCAACAAATGATATCAACCCAGAAATGTTGTTTTTTTTATCATCCCATTAATTTGACTGCAACGGTTTTTCACGCTTTCATTCGGTGTGCTATAAGCATTGCATAAAACAACATGGAATTGACCCATCACGATTTCCTTCTTAATTGTTGGTGAAACGGATTAACGCGGCGCACGCAATGCACTTTAACATATTCCATTCGGGGGATGGAAAGTGTAAAATATGTTGGTAAAGCATGAAAGTGATAATTATCAAAAATATTCAACAGCCTAAAATAATACCACTGACAATATTTACCAGTTCCTAATTTATTAACTGATAAATCTCCATCTCCAGTGACAAGTTCCCCTGTCAAAAATATCTCCACCATTTTGAATATTTTTAATAACAATTTTTATGTATATACATTTGGAATTAAATTTTTATTGAAGTCTCACCAAATTTCTCATTCATCTAGAAAATAAAAATAAAAAATAAATACATAAATAAATAAATGCATAAATAAATAATAAATACATAAATAAAAATTGAATAGATAATTAAATATCAAATACAATTACAATTACATTTCCCAGAAATACATCACCTCATCTTTTCTAAATGATTATGATTATGATTATGATTATTCACGAAAGGGGAATTGATGAGAAATTGACAAGTAATTGACAGGAAATTGATACCAAAAATTGATGAACACTTCCTGATTGATTGAATCCCTTCAGCAACACTTGAGTCCCTGGAAACCCGTCAAACCCTTCCCCAACATCAGAGGCATAATAAGAAATGCCCTCTAGTATGCATTGAACCCTGAATTATTCACCAGGTAATACCGTGCGCAATGTGAGCCGCAGAGTGACGTTGAAACAGGCCCATCGTGCATGGCATAACCACCGGCAATGATGCCCAATCGTCCAATCAAAATCAGAGGGGGGTTGGGGGGTGGTACAGAAGGAGGGGATCGATACCTCTTCGATTTGTGGCAGTCAGTTTGATCACTGATCACAGCTGGAAGGAATTCTGGTGCATCAGAATGATGAGATCAGGGGCTCGATGGGTTGGAATTAATTATCGCGTCTTAAATATATCATGACACAATGATTACTGATTTGAGATGACTTCAAAGTCATTTCAAGTCACCTGTAATGATTTCAAAATGATTTCAGGACTGATTTCAAAGTGATTTTGAGTGATTTGTTGGGTTATTTGATTTTAATGATTTCAAATGATTTCAGGAATGATTTTATTGATATCAGTTCAGACTTTCAGAGTTCTAGCTTCATTTAATCAATGAGCCTCTCGGGTTGGGACGGGAGATCCCAGGGTTTCAGACACTTGGAAATGCACGACGGGATCTCCGGGATTTACGGAATAAGCCCTTGAGGTTGTAAATATTATTGGCTGTGTTGACAGGCTTGAATAATTCTGAAAGAGTTGAACTGATTATCTTGATGAAGGATCCCCTCGTCAAGACGGAAGTTTATCAGGTCGGAACATCCGGATCATCAATTTCACCGGTTATCACCGTCATTATCGTCACGCACGGGGGGTTGATGGCACTCCTGAGGACGCGATGACAACTCCCCGGCGTGACCCTTGGTCATTCGAAATTTAGAGATCACCTGATGGAATATAATCAATTTTTCGTTACCTATCAAAATAACGCAACCTAAAATTTACAACAGAAAATATTACAACTGAAAAAATTATTTCTTCAAAATAATACAGCAACAATATTTTGGCAGTATAATATCTCATTTGTATTATTCTTAACAATAATATATTGTAATCGGAATATTTTTTCCAAATTTTCAAAAAATTTCTGGAAAATTTTTCAGAAAATTTTTTTATGAAACAAAAAAAAATTTGAATAGGACATTTTTTTTTTATAATTTAGATGGCGTTTTTTTGAGAATATTGAAAAATTAAAAAAAAAAGAAACAAATTTTTGAAAGATTTTTCAAAACATTTCCCAAAAATACAATTATTTTGTATCCCGATTTTTTTTTGTTTCAAAAGAAAAATTTTCCGAAAAGTTTTCCAGATTTTTTTTTTTAATTTGGAAAAAATATTCCGATTACAATTTTTTTTACCCAGGGATTTATCAGAGGATTCAAAATTTCTGCGAATGGAATTCGAATCCAGTGATTTTCCCCTGAAAATGTCTGTCCAAGGAATTTCAATTTTTATTCCGATATCCTAGAACAAAGTCTCCTTTGTCCTGCCCCCGAACGACTTTATATCGAATTTCTTCGATTACAAATAGGATCATTACGGTTTATTTCCTCAAGGCAGATCCACATTTCCCCCCTCCAGTAAAACGTGCTGAGCCTTCGAAGGATCGTCTTCCCTTCCCGAGACCGCGCAATTCCATTCTCCATAAACCAGACGAAATGCAGAGTCAAAGGGGCGGATGACAGGTCTAGTAATAGGGGATCATGAGACAGTGGATTAAATCATTTGACTGGTTGAAGGGGAAGGACTATCTCCAGTCAGTTGGAAAAGAGGTCGAAAGTATCACTGGGGAATTTTTCCAGTGAGGAAAATCCTCTGGGACACGAGAAAATTCGCAGTCGAGAGGATATCAACTCCTACTCACAGTGCAGATTGGGTTTCATGCCTGAGTCTTTCAAATTGGAATTTATGGAACTCTCAATTTACGTTTCCTCTGAATTTATTAATAATAATAACACGGAGCATTAACAATAAATTGTTACAGATCTTCCAAGATTTGGCAAGCCTCTGAATAATCTCACCGTCTCCGTGGGACGAGAGGCCATTTTCACCTGCATCGTGGAGAATCTTGGGCCTTACAAGGTGAGACAATCCATTTTTTCATTAATAATTTATAAAATAAAAAAAATAATCGACCGGAAGACACCGTCTCCCCCGGAAATTACCTAATTCCATCGAAACGGTGAAATAATTTCCAGCGGATGCAAATCAACGACGAAATTTCCCAGTCCCATTCCTGGAAAAATCTCTCATTCATATTTCCTGGGATACAGTCATGAAGTGAAATGTCGCTTGGGATCTAATTATTTTTTTGCACTCTCGGCTTTCCCTGAGAGATATCTCCACTTCTGTCTCCATTTACCGTATCTACTTTCAGCTACCACTTAATCCTAGGGAATTGATTTTAAAAAGGCCCTCACCAGCTAATAAAATTGAATCTTCCAGTAAAATTATTCAACTGGGGTAACTTCACCACCCAGAATAATCCCCAGGTACATAATCTTGGGGGTGAATTTTCTCCTGGATGTAACGAAATTGTAGTGAGTTCTCTTATCCACTCGAGTTCCGTTAAGACTCTGAATATTTTTATTCACCATTTTCCACCGCTGTCTATCTGCACTGGGTACCATGGAAATCCCCAAGTTTTGTACTCCGAGAAAAGCCAGATGGCCGTTGAAGATAGCTGAGGAGAATGTTGGCAGAGGATGCCTGTTGGAAATGCCCGAGGGTGAGCTCCAGGTACAGATGAGGGAACGGATATTTTTCAATAAAAATGTTCAATATCTGTTCAATATCTGACCGAACGATGCGATTTAGACGAACCGAGGATTCAGTGACTTCCTACAAGTCCTTGGAGATGTCCTTGAATTACTTGAAATCATTCTCTACTTTCAATTGAACAATGGCGACAATTGAAATATTTATTTTCAATTCAATGACACGATTTTTCGGATTTTAATTCTAAATGATAATATAATTTAATTTAATTAAATAATTAGAAATAATTTATCTGAATATTTCATAATGAATTATTCAATTACTCAATAATCAATTATTCGAATAAAAAAAATTATAGTCAATCCATTTGAAATATTGGAAAGTACAGAAAATTTTGATATTTTATTTTGAAATTCTGGGAATCCCCTTTAAATTGGAGAATCCTTCCTCCTGTTGATCGTGTAAACAGACCCGGAAATTAATTATTTACAATACCCCTTGGTGGTGCAGTCAAAGGCTATGATTAGTCAGATGCACAAGATGGAGACGTAAATAATTTCTGTGAGGTACGCGATAGAATGGAAATTCTGACGCAGTTTTGCTCCGCATGATGGAGAATGACAGAGTTATTGAATGAGAAACGACATTTGGTAGGAGAAATGCTGATATTAATAACAGTGATAAGGATAATTGCTCCAACTCTGGATGGAGCCTGGCATCTTGTCCGGAATGGGATTCTAGCTACGGTTCACTGATCTTGATTAATTTATCTCTGCCTCGACTGTCATCTATTTTTAATACCTGAACAACGATCAGAGCTGACACGAGGTCATTCGATGTTCATCGAATTTTTTAAATTAATCCCTCGGAAATTTCACCAGGAATTATTTTCTTGCCGTTGAACGGTAATTGGGCATGAAATAAAGAATTCCTGAACTGACAGCTAGATATCAGCTGTCACGAAGTCCTAGAAGTTGAGGAATATCCTCGAGGTGTGGGTACTTCACATTCTTCTTGCAAAAGGTCATACGCAAACAGTAATCTTTTATGTCGCGAATCCGCCATCCGCGAAATTGTTAAATCCCCGCGTCGACGGATGTCGGGATGAAAAAAATTGACAGGTCATTATTCCCATTCGTCCGGTACTCACCTAATCACTCGTTAATTAGGGAGTGGTCGAGTCACTTCAAGCCCTTCATAACTCTGCATTAACATTAATTAATGAATAATCCGAGGTCAAATAGCATTTGTGGAATCTGCGGGATTATCCGGGGAAATATCGCTGTTTAAATAATCCGGAGTCTCAGTTACCCTGGAAATCTGGTTTAAAAAATCATGGGAAATCATCTGAAATCATTTGAAATCATCGAGTCCTTCCGAATGCAATCGATTATTCCAATGATTTAATTATCTCACTGAAATCCTGGGTAAAAAAAAAGAGAAATCGGAATATTTTTTTCAAATGTTAAAAAAATTTCTCGAGAACATTTCAGAAATTTTTCTTTATGAAACAAAAAAAATTGAAAACAAAACAATTTTATTTTTGGAAAAGGTGTTGAAAAATTTTTCAAAAATTTAAATAGCAAATTTTTTTTTATAATTGAGATGGCGTATTTTTTGAGAATATTGAAAAAATTAAAAAAGTAAGAAAACAGCAGTATAATTTTTAAAAAATTATATTCGCAAAAATTTCTAGAAAATGATTAAAAAAAAAAATTTCGAAACATTTCCCAAAAATACAATTGTTTTATTTCCGATTTTTTCTGTTAAAAAAAAAATTTTTGAAAGTTTTTTTCCAAATTTTTTGAAACCTTGGAAAAAATATTCCGATTACAATTTTTTTTTTACCCATGAAATTTGAAATAACGATGGATTGAATTCCGAATGAATCGCCCCTATCGCCGGGAATTCACGGGGAATTCTCCCTGAAATAATGGAGTCCTTCATAATGTCAGGAGATTCGGAATTCAAAAGTATGTGATTCACAAAGAACATTCTCTAGAGGAGATTTTACGATGTGCACTTTATAATGTCAAAGGAACTTCTCCAGCCCCCGGAGACATTTCCGTGAAACTTTGAAATGTTGTATATCATTACCCCGAGATTATATTCAGAGCAATGTGGGGGGATTGAACTCAAAACTAGCCCACGAGGGCGAATGATCCCATTCTGACGTTCACCAGCTATTGTGGGGTTTCCCCGAGTTCAGGGATGCGACATTTTATTAATCAGACACGATCATACCCCAGAATTTTTCACCGATCCATCAATTACCTTAATCCCACGAATCAACTAATTAAATAACTAATATAATTAATATAATTTTGATAATTCCGCTTTAAATAATTTATAACTGGAATAAAAGGAAAATCTTCATTTAGCGTTTTAATTATTGACCAGAAATTATTGAATCGATTGAGAGAATTGGGAGCAGAAATTATTTGTTTAGAAATCCGGGAATAATTGTCTGGTACTGAATGAATTTTATTGGTGACTGATTAATTATTTTTCGATTGATTTCATCGTTGATTGCAATTACGTTTGGCAGGATGTAACGACAAAAGGACATTAATTACCCCAATTACCGTTATTATAATCCCCTGACTGTAATAATCCTACATTTGGTAACATCAAAGCCATCCGAATAGAATATACCGTTTGTCCTCGTTTTCCAGTGCGAAAATGACAGAATTTTGTTGATGACGTGGATTTTCACGGCGAATACCATCAGAATTCAAATCGCTTTGATGTAACACCGACGTGTCAACATACGGAAGATTAAAAAACCGAGTGAGAATAAAACTATCGGATCGATGGAGCGAATTTATTTGGGGAAATACCGACCGATATACCGAAATAGAGAATAGAAAATTCCCCTGATGACGTCAATCTCAATTGGGGAATGAGATTTCCCATGCCGATAAATTTACCCCCAATTTACTCCAACTCTCCACTATTCTGAGGTTAAAAAAAAATATTCCATCGTCAATACATCAAATTCTATTCTCCTCTCGGTACCAAATCCAATTAATTCGGTTTATCGGTCAAGTATTGGTCCATCTAAATCCTGTGAATGGCATTTCACTTCGCCGCAGCTTTTCACCCGCCCATCGGCATTAGCTTTTGAATCCATTTCGTGCCCCAGAATTTGTACTCTGCACTCCATCCTCCATTTTCCCGCATTATCCCCATAATTTTTTTATGATGAAAAAGAAAATAATTACTCGAGCTGAATAAAAAAAAAATTGCCGCAATATCCCAGGGAAAAATATTTATTATTTCCATAATCCCTCCCCTCTATTTTTTTATTTATCCTCCCAATAACTCTCTCATTACTCTCGCCTCATTCACCCCTGGAAAAACCGGTGGTAACCCGTGATTTCTCTCTTGTTAAAATTTTTCTCGACAATAAACTGGTGGAGTTAATGAACAGGAGTGAAAAGGAAAATCGAGAGTAACGAGAGCCGTAAGAAAAATGGTTTCACGTGGCGCATACGATGTGTGAGAAAAACCTGGAAGATAAAGGTCTGAAGAATCGCTGACTAGGGGTAGGTCGAGTTAGTGTTGTAAATTGTGTACCCCAGACTCCGTTTGAAATGCGAAGGCCGAGGGATAAAAAGGAAAAAATAAAGGGTGAAGATGTCGACGAAGAATATAGCTGCGGTAGCTGCTTTGTCGCGATGGCATGAATCGCGTTGAGTAATTATTCAGTCCCTGTCAAACATCCACCAACCATGCGGCACAGTTTATTCCACAAATGACACCATTCTTGAAAAAAAAAAGTCCCGTGAAAATTCCACGTACCAACCACTTGCTTGTTTCATATTTTTCCATTGCCGTTTTCACATGCACAAGAATTTTCCATTCATTTTTCCATTTATTTCAATCTCCGATAAAACGCGAAACGAAATCTCTCAGTCTCTAGGAATAATTTGTCAACTTTTTAGAATCCATTTTGAGTAATTAATCCCGAGAAAAAAATTTATCCACTCAAAAATTACGGAGTAAATAAATACAAATGACAATATGACATGAAATATTGTTATGCATGACGCGTGGATTATCAAGGATATTTTATTATTTATTATTTATTATTTTTTATTATTATTTTTTTATTATATGTACGTGTATATGTATTTATTATTTTTTTTTTTGAACCTCTTTGCAGTTCATGTAGCGTAACAAATGTTGAAATAACAGTACTAATTGTCCGTACATCACAATTGCGGTACTTCAGGATGGAAAATGGGTTTTTAAGCGAGGGTAAACCGCTTCATCGGCCTTCTTTTCAATGTTGGAATTTAGTAAATCCTTCAACACCGAGTTAATGAGGCCTCTGACCATTCAACTTTTTCCATGCCCTCGTCTCCAGGAGTATCTTCCCATTTTTACCCGCAGAAAACTTTAGCACGAGGTTTTTCCTTCTGGCGGTTTTCCCATCGTTAACCGTTGGTTATAAGATTAAGCACCGAAGTTTCAATAGGATAACGATTAAACGATTCAGTCATGAGATTCAACAGTGCCATATTTTGTTTCCCCAGTTTTATCCCTGAAGAATTATTGAAATGGCCCAATTGGAGTTGAAGGGTGGGATTAACCTCAAATATTTCCTAGTGCTGGCACTCAAGGAGTGAAGAATCCCACAGGAAAAAGTGGATCGCGATAAAAAGTCGAGAATAATGCCGACACAAAGGCTGGCTTTCCCTTTATTTACTCTCTTCATAAATTTTAGTTTTTTTTTTTCCTCCCATCTCCGTGAGTCTGAGTGCAGCCTATGGTGGAGCCACAGCGGAAGAGAACGATGAGGTTCGTTTCTACTCTGTATTTATTCGGATGCACCTAGTTCTTTGTATCCACTCGAAGGAGGGGTCAAACTCCTGCTGTTAGGACGAGAGCCAAGGCACTGGTGATGAAGAGATGGTGAGAAGGCAGACCTGACACCGAAAGAGAAGAAAAATCTGCACTCGAACAGAAAGTGGAGACAATGTAGTTTCAGCAAGCAAAGAAAATTCTCCGTTCACATTTTCTTCATTGATTGTGTGCGCGAGTCACATACACATTGAGAAGACACTTCTGCTTCCTTTCGCCATTGGCAATTGACTGTCGCCGGGTAAATTGCCTCGTGATAATCACAATCCAAGACATTCTCCATCGCGCGGTTCAGACTGGAGATCGTTGTGAGCCAAAGAAGCTCTCACAGTCGCTCACACTTGATTGAACGGCTCACATATTGATTATTTCCAATGTAAATCAGAAATTTAGTTTCATTTCAACTTGGCCCACCTTTCAGAATGACTTAGACCCTCATAACGATTGATCCAAACCGCTCACACCCGCTCACAACCGCTCACACTTGAGCAGCATTGATTCCCACTCGATTTAACGGCTCCCAATCACCAGAAATTTTTCCCTGCCCTACGACAACCCAAATTTCAACCAATCGATCACCAAAACACAACCTACAACCTGGAAATAACCCCTGAGTAAAACTCACCGCATATTTACAAAACATAACAAGATTCTCCAGTTGAAATCTGTCTGGCACTTTTGCAGGTGGCATGGTTACGAGTCGACACGCAGACCATCCTAACGATCGCCAGTCACGTTATCACGAAGAATCATCGAATATCTGTGACGCACAGTGGCCATCGCACTTGGTCTCTGCACATTCGCGACACGCGAGAGACCGATCGCGGTTGGTACATGTGCCAAGTAAACACAGATCCAATGTCCAGTAACACTGGCTTTTTGGAAGTTGTTGGTGAGTACTGAGTAATCTCGTCGTCAACCCGATCAGGTTCAGCCATTAAGTTATTCCATAACGTGCTGGTGTTCATCAACCGAAACACCACCAAATTTTTTTGTATCTTGCCGGTGACCTATCATTAGCCAACCAGACTGGCCTGTCGAGATAGAGACGTGCGTTACACGGCATACCCGCCCATTTTGCCACCGATTTGCTCCACTCCGGCCGATGCAAATGTATGCAAAATATTCCGTACTGTGTACCCGGCCGATTGCAATGGGGGGACGGTAATACTTTTGGGGGGAAAAGGGGGGTTAGGGTGAGGCTATTAAACGCGTTTCTGGCGACGTACCTCGGGGTTCTTAACTAATAATGTACCATAGCTCTCTCGCTAGCAAATTCTTCCTCATTTTTTATCCTCCCTCCTGATCCCTCATTTTATTTTTCACTTCGTGAAGAACTCGTCAATCGGAAGTGATTTTATTCTCCGGAATAATTTTTAACTGTTGACTTGCAGATTTGCTGTGCATATGCCTGATCATAACTGTTATTTTTTCACGGTTTTCAGCTTTTACTTTGTAAATTTACCCGGCGATACCTACAAAGCCGTTTTAATTTTCCTTTGTGGCCCTCGGAATTTTTTTTCTCTCGTTACTGTTCTCGCCTTTTTCAGTTTGACACAGTTAGTTACGTTCTGGAGGAATTGGTAGTGCGATATTCCGAGGACGTACCGTTGGTAAATCGAATCGCGTTGCTCTTCCATTCCTCATTCACTTCTCTTTTTTCTTCCAAAGAGCTCTCGAAGGAATGACGATTGAAGGGCTTCAGCCTATTCGCTTTTCTCCTTAAATAAATTCTTTTTATCACTGATGGCATACATTTATAGTCACTGGTCACGATATCACCACTGGATTTACTTCAAATCGATTTAACGCGGGTGAAGGTGGTACCGCGGGATTCTCCCATCCCACGAATTTCCGGTGAGAATAATAAAGAAAATCTTTTTTTTAAAAAAAAAAGGAGTTATCGGGAATTTAGTGTCGTCAGTTGTCGGCGGGAAAAATCAAAAAAAAATATTTGGCATTCGTCACGAAATTCCGATCGACGTAAAATCACCGGTGATTCAGTCGTTATCAGACCAAGTGGAAACCTCGTCACGTTATTCTATTTGTCGAGTGGATGGACAATATTTCGTGGCTGTGGTTGGGACAATTAAAAAAATGACCATCGAATTTTTTCAGTACCTCCGGACATTCTCGATTACCCAACGAGCACTGATATGATTGTCAGGGAGGGAAGCAATGTGACCCTGAGGTGCGCTGCCACTGGAACACCTGAGCCAACTGTCACCTGGAGGCGAGAAGCTGGTGGAAGGATAACATTGTCCACCTGGCATGATGGTGAGGACAAAATAACCCTTTCCCCACCAAAAATCAAATTATCTCCGTTCTCTCCGTTTTCTCCGTTCTCTCCGTTTTCTCATATTTACATTGCACTGACGGTTCCAGCACAGGTACTGGAGGGTCCGGACCTGGAGTTGATCCGAGTGACCCGTCAGCAGATGGGGCCATATCTCTGCATCGCCTCCAATGGAGTCCCACCCTCCGTCAGCAAGCGGATTCTCCTCGTCGTTCACTGTAAGACGAACAAGCCAAACGAAAAATCTCTGTAAATTGTCCTCAATATAAAATCTCATGTCATGTCCTTCATCTACAGTTCCTCCGATGATTCAAATTGAGAATCAACTGATTGGTGCTTATGAAAATCAAAGTCTAGTCCTGGAGTGCACCAGCGAGGCTTATCCCCGGCCAATCGTTTACTGGACTAGACCTACGAATGAGACTATAGTAAACGGTAAGTTTTAATCCAGCGATAGAGTTTCTGTCATCATCGGGTCAATCTACCCTACCCTCTGGACAACTCCTCTGAACTAACGGTTATGGGGCAGAGTTTACCATTGGGTAAAATGAATAATTTCTCTGCGTCCACATTGGCTGGACGGTACACTCGGTTTTAATGCTCAATTCGTGGGATAAACTTTTCGTTTCCAATGAAAACACCCGGGAGTTGGTTGAAGTAGTTACAAAAGTCATTTGCTAGCCCCTACGAGGAAACTGGTGAACTTATTCCTGGACTCGTCGTTATTTCAATGGATACGACATGGGACTTCTTTCTTCAGGAATTAATGTCCACGATGATGTGGGTGGTGCAGAGGTTTTCTCATTGCCAAAGAAAATTGATTCTCCTGAAAATCACTTCTGCGGGTTTTATTTTTATGATTATATCACTTTATCTGTTGTATAATAAATTGATGAAGTAAATTACAAATCCATTGATATTCTATTCTTGTTTCAAATTTTTTTCCGTGGAGTTGTGTAATGCGAAATAATCCAAGAAATGTTGCAGTAAGAAGCCAATCTAAAAGACCAATTTGGCGTGTTCTTTGGTCGTGCCAACACCGGTCGTATAACCAAAAGTTTCATAACGCTCAAAGCACTGAGTGTAAATACCCGAGCTTATTGCACTTTCCGAGCATCCACTTGTTTATTTCCTCTGGCCGCCAGACAGTTTTCGTAACTCGTGGTATCCAGTATATTCCACCAGTCGTTCTAATTCCTCTCTGGCTTTTCACACCACTCCATACGACTGTACGAATTAGGTTTTTAACGAGGGGCCCAGGGATAATTAGACCTGGTTGAATAGAATTGCGTGCTCCAGAGGGTTAACGCATGCTCAACATTCCCGTCAAAACCAGCGACTCATTTGAAATCCCATGTAGAAGCAATGTTACCCCAATGAGCCCCTTGTGGCTCACTTTGATCAACTGCAATGCAGTTTAATGCTGACTTGTTCATTTGTATGGCGTCCTGATCAGGTTTCAATCGTCATTTTAATTATGACTGAATTTTCCTTTCTGCTGTATACCTTTCGAATTTTCACGAATTATCCAGGAAAAACCTCACCTGAGGGGAAAACCTTTCATCAGGTCCGATGAAATTGAGAAAATCAGAAATCAATTTTTTCAAAATCAGAAATCAATTTTTTCAAAATCAGCAACCGGCCGGGATCGAACTCACGACCTTCCGCATGCCAGTCTGACGTCTTAACCACTCGGCTATTCATTGACCTGATAATGTATTTCATAAAATATCTTTATGATTCTCTTCGCAGACAACAATTACAAGATGGATCTCACGACCAGCGGGTACGTGACGACCATGAGACTGAAGATAAAATCAATAAGACCGCAGGACTACGGATCCTTCCAGTGTATGGCGACTAATTCTCTCGGGGAAACCGATGGGAAAATAAAATTATACAGTGAGTAGAACTCCCAGAGTTATATTCAAACACGTAATAATAAATATATTCACTCAATTATTCAACCAATCGTTACTTTTCGAAATATAGCATTTTTCCCAGTGAGTAATTGTTAATAAATGATCTCGTGAATTGAATGTGATATATTTCTTCTCGCATTCGGCTGGATTTTAATTCGGTGAACGATTTTTCATTCCTACTATTATTCTGTCCATCATTTCACGTGCTTTCTATTATATCCCGACGAAACATGATGTACAACGATGATTAAAATAATTCTCGTTAGTATCTAGTGGTGAATTTTAACGGAAACTTTCACTCTTTTATTTTTTTGGTGATTCAACGGCTGCTCCGGCAAATTTCCGGGTAAAAGCATTATTCCAAAAACTCGTCACGGATACATAATTATTACACCATGTAATTTTCTGAAAAGCATTATTCGGGAACAATTGATGCTCTAGTTATTTCTGTAATTAATTCCACTAATATGAAATACACATTTTCATTCCCAATGACTCAATAATTAATTAGTGCTGATATTTAATTGGATTGGACGTTCATGCCAGAGTGCGATGTCATATTACTCATCTAATTACTGATTTCTAATTTAAAAGTCACAAGTTCTGGTTCACAAATGAATTCCGTCGGGAATTCTGCGTTGTGGCAATTTTTTATAAAATTTTCGGGATATTGTCTGACAGAAACGAAATATGAGGCATTCGTTTTAGACGCTAATAGAAACAAAAAAAAAATTCGTTTCAGATTCCCCGTGTCGCGGAAATGTCCTGCCACTCCCCCGAAATTTATCATTTCATTTTATTCATTTTCTCTCACACCACGAATGTCAGGATCGTGCCGCATACGTCATGTACAGCAGATTGAATGAACTTTTTCCACCGCCAATTCGTTGACTGACGTATCGAAGCCACATTCTGACGTACAGTGCATCCAGTATTTTTTTCATGTTTCATTCATCATTGAATCATGGTGACATCCTGAAAATATATTCAACATTGAAACACGAATATTTCCTATTATTGTCAAGATATTTTTTCATCAATTAATTTATATTTTATTCTTCAATTAAATTCAATTAAATGCAATTTTTTTTTTCTTATTCTAGGCAGATCATTATTTTATTAATATGATATATTATATTATATGTATATATCGTAGGATATCCATAGCTTAGAATAGCTTAGAATAAATTCTATTTTCTTAAAACGTACTTTTTTCACAAATTATGTTTTGTTCGATAACAACGTCCTCATCAATTTACCCGTTCCCCCCTATTTAACGAACGTATATAATTTCCGTAGTCTATGTTCTATGTATCAATCCATTACTGGCCCCATCGTACCTGTCCTTGTTTTTCCGACAGAAACATTAATTGGAACCTCGTTATCCCCCGACCGATTGTCACAATTCTTCCTCCAATCGTCCGTCCTCGTCCGTTCGTCAGTAAAACCGGAAATTCAAATGTAAAAAAATCGCCGCTGAAAGAAGAGAAAACGAGAGAGTAAAGAGACATTCGGCACGCACGATTGTGTGGTAAAATTGATATCGAAAAAAAAAAAGGTGATTGCGAAATGGAAAAGACCGGGATTTTTGTGGCGTTAGTTCATCGATTTTCTCACCCCGATATCACGGGGACATTTCGAAAACGGAGTGACCCTCGAACAACATCGATAAAACACATAACCGTATCTCAGAGAAGACACGAGCCGTCCGTTTCTAACTGTAGAACCACGAAAATGAGAAATCCGGGTCGGGTCAGGACACATTTACATTGGAGATCGATTGGACAGAGCATTAATGGTCGCAGGACAGCTTTGTTGGAATTTTTGTTGATGAATTCTAGGAAAACTGCGGTTTTGAGGATCAAAACGCGTGTTGTATGAACTTGAAGGTCAAACGGGACAGCTGTCGGCATAAACATGCGTGTCGTATGATCTTGAAGGTCAAACGTGTGAGCGAACGGTGCGAACACGCGTGTCGTATGATCTTGAAGGTCAAACGTGTGAGCGAATGGTGCGAACACGCGTGTCGCATGATCTTGAAGGTCAAATGGAATAGCAACGGAAGTAAACATAATTTCATATGATTCTTGAGGGTCAGTTACCGCCGAGCTTAATGAATTATGTTTTCTTCCAGAAATACCTAAGCCACCGTCAACTCGCAAGCCCAATAGCCGTCGTGACTCGAAAAAATACTGGAAGATTGATCAAAAACGCACCCAGGAAACAGGTGAAATAAAGGATGAGCTGAGTTTGAAGGATGAGGATGACGAGGATTCAATGGATTTTCAATCGTCCACATCAGACGGTAGCTCTCACCAATCATCACCCAGTCATATCCCAGCACTTCTGATACTGACGCTGGCATTACGACTGACATCCTAGGTGTGAATGATAGCACCAGTGGGTGGATATTTCATTGCTCTTTTCACCGTGACTCGGCGAAACTTATCGCGAAGGACAGATGGATTAATTGCATTTCGATTATGCGAGATTAATCAACTTCCATTTTTCCATCGGGCATGTCTGTCATGAGAGATAAAACCGATGAATACGTCTGGAATTTGCATTATAAAGTTTTGATGAGAGTTCAGGCACTGGTCTTTCAAGCGCTGAGTTCACGTGATTGTGGGCTGAATCTTGAGGAAGATGATGAGATCTCAATGTCCAATAAAAATTACCAGGCACTTGCGACAAAGAAATGCTAATTCCTCTCGTCAAGGCAGCTTCATCGATCTGTATAAAGATTCGTCGTACAAGACGGCGTATGTCCCAGTGAGTGTAAAAATGGGTCGATGAATGTTTCTTATTCAATTCTCTTCCTTTGATGTTGGAGTGGATGAATAAAGCACGAGTTATCTATGTTACTCATTCATGAGAGCTTGCCGTCGGGTTGGAGCTCATGTATGGAATTTCCTCCACCTGAAAAATATAATTCCGCAGACGGAAAAATGTAAATATCGTATGAGTGGTGATTATTCCTTACACTGCTATGGAATATCTTGAAATTCTTTCGCGTATCGCTCGAATTAATTATGGAAAATGATATACAGTCGGGGGATGATGGGACATATGATGAAAATTGTAGATTCATTATTCATTCGTCGGTAGATTTATCTCGGTCGATTTTCCAATGCCAATTATCCGTCGTCGACCGCTCGCTTGGCGATAATTGAGAGTTGAAGATATTGCTGTAGAATATTTGGGTCGTACTTGTGTTGACTTGCTCATGAAGTGAAAATTATGGAATCATTCGACTTGCACATCTCTCGGTTGGAGATATTCTCGAGGCTTTATGTATTCTGGGGCACATGAATTGTCGGGGTAATGGTCGCTGTAATGTAGGTTACGGTATGGTATGTTAGATGTAATGAATATTATCGTATGATTCAAAAATAAATTAATCCTTTATTGGACTGTTTCTGAAATTTCAGTTGGTTTTCACGATCGATATTCATTATTACAATTATTAATTCAATTCCATTTTCATCTGCAATTGAGAGCATCTGCCCGTATCCCTCGCCAATTGCATTCATTCATTTATGACCCTCAATTTATGGATTAATGTAATTATGAATGATGTAATGAGCCTCAGTGATGTGTACATATGCAGGGAGATAATCGATTTAATTTTTGAATGTCTGCGGAGGATTCTGTACATAATACGAAGGATGTAATGATTAATAAATGTTAGACAATCTAAAACCATCTCTCATTTTAAAATTCATCCTCTGCAGGATTGCATTAAAAATGGAATAATTTATCAAATCGATTCATTCAATATTATATTTACGAAATAATAATAATTTTAATAATAGTAATTTTCACATGATGAAGTGATAATCTGTCCGAGCTGATAACAAATCCCTCAGTCGATAAGTAAGTCTTCGAACTCCACCGATAACTATCCGACGATCGGTAATATTGTACGCCAAGAGTATTATTACCGGCATTAATCATTCGTTGATAAATCAGAATTGTTTACGCGCCGCAGTAGAAAACGCCGGGTTTAGTCAGACGAATAATTTCTGTACGTATTTCCGAGGGGAAGAGGTTCGATGTGCGTCCGGGGATGTCATCAGTCTTCCTGATATTCAAATAATTGTCATTACCTGAAAATCGAGGATTCGAGGGTCGATTGAATGCCAGTGGAGATTGAGGAGAGATTGAGAGAAAAATCTATAGCTCCGAATTCCGCGGTTGATAATCGCGGGAGACTTATCGCGTCGTAAAGAAAATCACTCATTCTCAAATCATTGTGTAAATTACTCACATAAAAATAGTAAATCCAGGCGTAATCTTCTGTTGGTCGATACCAAGCGCACAGACAAGTGGGTATTAAACTTGAGCATCTGCTTGGTGATCCCTATTTTCTTCTTCACCTTTTTCAACTCACTCCATCGTACTTCGACACTTTTGGAGATCTCAACAAAAATTTCCGGCATACTTTTCCACGGTGGAACAAGTTTATAGTTGGATTGAGTCCCCGGGTATGAAGTTTTGAACACAGTGGACACTTGATTTTTTATTCTCGCTACTGATACCCGAATTTTTCGTTTGAAAATGTACGAAAGTGACACTTGACAATTTATTCCGAGCTATAATTTATTTATAATTACCGTAGGAGGTAATTCCAAAATAATAATGAATATTATTTGATACTCCATTCATCTCTTGCGATAAATCACATTTTAATTCAACAAATTAAATGGTAGAGAGTAAAATGAATATATATGACGCGAAAATTATTTTTATACATTTGTTATCATTTTGAAACGAAAATCTTTTTGTTATATTTGCATTTTTTCAACGGGACGGTAATTCAATTTCTGTTGAAGTAATTTGATTATCGTTTTTCAATAAAAACATGAATGTTTCAAGTTACACATCGTAAAAATGACAATTATTTATAATAAAATCCCCCACTCAAAATATTTTCCATAATTACCAGTGATGAAAGCAATTGCAGAAAATTCTCAATTTAAACATCGATTGAAATTACTATCAAGAACGAAAGATAAAAATTGAAAGTCATAAAAATCATCAAATTTCCCAGTAATTCCCGAAATTTAATTTCCCTGAAAATCCACATCACGGAATATTTCTACAGTAGACATTGAATAAATTCCCACAATTTCTCTCGTTTTCCCGTAAAATTCGCAGTACAAAACAATGGGCACGCGAATTTTCTACATAACAATTGATCACCTGGTCTGCAGTGATTACAATGGTCTGTACGTAAAAAAAAAAAAATAACAGCGGAATGAACCGGAATCAATACACGTTACACCCTGCAATATCAAGAATTATCTTTATTTTTCACCTCGTTTCATTCACGACACAGTGGCGTATGAATATGAATGGTGATAATCTATAATAATATTAGCGTGACTATCAGTGGGTGCTCGTTTGTTTCCCTCTTCCATATATCGGTGAAAAGGCCTGAAGGCCTTTGTTATCGGTGCTGTAGCCCCATTCTGCCCTGACAATTGTCCAGGAGGGGATCTCTGCATCCTCTTCTGCAGGTATTACCACTAATTTCGGGGAAACCGCGTCGGAGGAACGAGTGATGTACGAACCAAAATGTCAAGTCCTTTTTCCTTTTCGGGGATTATATATTCACTCTGAAATTCAGTGACAACCATTTCAGATTTCACGTGATTTCAAAGAGATAATTAAATCATTGAAATCGATGATTGCATTTGGATTTAATTATTTGATTATTTCCAGGATTACGGGGATTTCTGGATTTTTTTAACGATTACAATTAAATTTCCGAAAATTAATTTTATTTTTTTTTTCGACATCAAATAGAACTTTTTTTTTGTTTTTGATTTTCTGGAATTATTATTTCATGGAATTGCAATTTCACTGCAATTCATCGAGCCGTGACACGGCGATTTCACCAGTGAATAATTTTTCCTTCGATCATTATTTTTTTAAATTAATTTCAATTGAATATAAAAAAAATGATAATATAAAAAAAATCGTTCAGCACCTGTGGCAAAGATATAAAAATACTAAAACATTTATTTGTTGCTATCACAAGATCACGAAAATCTTGTTTATTTCAAATATTTTTGCCTTTCAGTGGAGATCTCCAATATTTAAATAATATTTTTTAACATTGAGTAAATTTGCAACCTCAAAGTGCTTCGACTAGTGCACGATGAAACAGTAAATACAACTTGATTAATCATCTACTTTAAAAAATTCTCCGAGAGAAGGTTGGATATTTACAATTGGCTGAAGGATTTTTCCATCGCAAATATCATAAATGCAGCATTGAAAAGTGCCTGAGTCACGAAATGAAATTTACGAGTAGAATTTTTTCTACCTTGAGATAAAGTAAATGAGTTCTCTGTGAGCCCTCGACGGAGTACACTCGGTGAATAAAATATCCCCAGATGATACTCATCAATCGGAGAAATATTGGATCAAGTCCTAATTAACTCGGTCGACTGCCGCTGGATATTTTCAACAATAACTCAAAAACCCATCGCAGCGAAGAGCAATTCATTGGATAAATCACACGAGATCCTTAAATCGTATAAAATCATTTCAAATCAATTCAAATGACTTGACATCATCAAATCAAGAGAAAAAGTTTCTAAAGTAATTTAAAGTCATTAAAAATCAGCCACTCCAGTAGATCACCTGAATCACTCCTGAAATAATTTAAAGTCTCATAGTCATTTGAAATAAATCATTCGAAATCAGGAAATAGTTTGAGAATTACTCCACGATTCGCAGAATAAATAATTCGCGAGTGCACCAAGGTAAGATATAAACCGGGCATCGGTACACTTTTGCTGCAGTGCGGCAGGCATTCTTTTGTTGGCATTATGAGATATTTAATATATGACCCGCTGTCATAATGCGATTTTGCCTTGTGAGCGTGTGTGAGGGCGCGGGATTCAACTGCTTTTCTATCCCTGTACTGACGCCCGAGACGACGGCGTGAAAAAAAAAAATTAAATGGAACACGGAGAAGAGAATCCTGGATGATTTTTTTTTTCTTCATTCGCATGATAAAGCTCGTAAAGAGTGCTCGAGGGGGTGCTCGTGCATAGAATGACATCATGAACTCGAAAGGCATCTCCTAGACGGCTTGTCAGCTGAACTGAATAAATTTACGCGCTGGAGAGTTCCCGGGGATATTTCCACTCTCATCAAGAACTTTCGGATATTATGGGGTAATTGATCCACATCCTCAAATTTTTCGGTTAATTTTATCCCCCGGGGGGGATTTTTTCATCGAACTTTTCTGGAGAATTCGGAAAATCGAGTTCTGGAAAAATCGCAAGTCGACCTGTTGAGTTTTTGTGAAATATCTCTGGATCCGGGGGTCGCACCGAATTTTCCTCCGGAATCTTTTTTAAAGAGGGGAATGAGAGGAATAAAAAAGGTCTTGACAAAAATTAAGCTATTTCCCCCAGATTCAGAGATATTTCCCCAATCTCCATATGGATG